TTATCGCTAATCTGTCACTAATTTAGTGACGAAAATTTTTTGTTACCAAATTCCGTTACTAATTTTAGTGATAGAATTTGTGACGGATTATTCCCTGTTTTTTGGTGGTGTTAAATACTTTTTCGCAATATATATGCCCTTTGTGTGCAAATAAAAGAGAAACCTACATGCTATATTTAATTAGCAGAACTTTAATTGCTGGCTAGAAAATCAAGACAACTTTAGTTATTTAATTAACGTTTAACTCTTTTTCTCAATGCGTATGAAATAGTTAAAAAACGATATATATATATATATATATATATATATATAGCTAATCAATTTCGATTAAGGTTATTCTTCCAGCACAGTTTTTTGAATCCCAATGTTTGTGTACTTGAATTCACTTAAAAGATATCATGTCCCTTACCATAACTTATCCTATATTTGGTAAGAAGAAATTCGAGAAGAGGGGAGGTGATAAAAATTTTAATGAACTCAATTAAAAAAATTAGAGAAATGAGGTTATAAAATTTTGATAAAAAGAAAGATGAAAGACAGATTAAAAAACTTAATTAAAAGCTTTAAATATCATTTCTTTAATTTTTTAAATCAAACTCATTAAAATTTTTTCTCTTCTCGTTTCCCTTTCATTTTCCTCATACCAAGATGACCTTTAGAAATTCCCATGTTGTAAGCAAATGGTTGAAAGTTTATTTTCATGTCCAGCGTATAGAACAAAATCTAATTAGGAGTCTATTATTTAGCTTTTGTATCTCAAGGAAAGATTAGTGTTTAGAAAACAAGAGATAATACCTCTTGTCCTAATATAAGATCTAATTTGTAATGTAAATTATACTACATATTAAATCTTATATTTAAGACTAGAGGTAATATTATATAACTTCCATGTGACCTACACCCAATGTTAATTTTTGTTTACTTTTTGAATATTGGTGCCTTGGAGCCTTTTCATGAACAAAGGTGGCTATTAGCCCTAATCCACTTGTTGAAGGTCCGACGGCTTAGGAAACAGGTGTTCAATTTATTTGATTAAATTAAGATTGTGAGGGATAATGAATTCGTCCATCCACCAATTTAATTGAAAGAATAATAATTTAAGTTGGAAATATACGAAATCTAAGAGATTAATCTTAATCTTTGGAGATTTGAAGGGGCAATTTGTCAATGGTTCAATGATTAATGTATTTAATTATTTCACTCTTCTTTTTGAATTGCAATGTATACATGTGGGAAAGAGATGGACAGTGTGACAAGAAAGAATACATCCATATATGAAAGAAAAACACAAAATTATCCTCTAAATTTACAAATATCAATTCAGAATCCTATAATGGCCTAACTATAGTAAAGTTTATAAGAACTAGTTTAATTAGGATTAAATTTTTTATGAAATTAGCTAAATACCCTTATTAAAAAAAACTAAATGACAATAATAGTTTATTATATAACAACTTTATTTTTTTAAAACCGGAACAAGTGACAACTTTAACTTACTAAATAACAACATTAACTAAGGTAATAATAATTAATTTGAGTGAATTTTCTCGCTGAATTCTTATGTTTCAGCGGTGCTTATATATATATATATATATCTCTCTCTCTCTCTCTCTCTCTTTCTGCCTACATATACATATACATATTATATATACATATATAAATGATTTATTGGATTGTAGACTAAGATTTGGTATGAGGGACAAAAGAAGGATATGGCGTTTGACGTTGAGATGTAAAGGTTGGGTGTGGCATCAAGTCCATTAGACCTGAAACGCATCTTTTGACTTTTGTGGGGAAACTCACTTGAGTGCTCATTTGAACCAAATTTCCTTTCCAATTTACTTTTAGCTTCTCTTCATGTCACATTATAAAATTTACTTTCCCGACTTTTTTTTTAATAAAAAATAATCCACAGTAATATTCTTAAGCATAAAAAATAAATTCTTTTTATTTGAAATTTTAGACTAGTCTTTTTATTTTTTCCTTCATTAAATATATGCCACTTATTATCTCTTTACAATTAAATTTCAACTCATTATTTTTCATGCACTCTTTAAAAATAAGGGTATGATTGAAAAATATGTATATATTAGTAGTTATTTCTGAATTCTGATAATAAGAAACGGAGGGAGCATATCTATAGATACAACTAAAGATTTTATTGTTTGTTATGAATTTAAAATTATTTTAGGTGCCAAAAAATAAGTACTCCCTCCGGTAATAGGAGCTATATAACTACGAAAAATAGCCTTTTAATAAACAAAAAAACGGGGAGGTATACAACTAATTGTTGTAACTTAAAAAAATTAGTTAAATTAATTTTTCTTAAAAAATGAGTTTTTTTGGGTAAAATGTCAATTTTGCCCATAATCCAGCAATGACTTCAGGTTTAGTTATTAAAATTAGTTAAAGAATAGAAAGGGAGTAATTTTCTAGCTACCTCCAGTTAGAACGTTTACAAACAAGTAATTCCTCTTATCTTTATTATACGATACTTCCAACTAATTCTAGCATACCAATATATTACAGTTAAGTTAATAAATTTTTCAAAAATTTGCTCCTATTTAAAGAATATGGTTTAATTTTTCTGACTATGAACCTCAATTAAAAAGCAAGGGTAAAATGATAGGGGAAAAAGGTAATTAATGAGGCTATTAATAACTTATACTTAGAACTAAAAACTACTCCTAGAAGATACTTTATAATAAGAAATTAAGAACTGAAGAGAGTAATATAGATTTGGGGAGATTGAGTATGAACAATCAAAATCACACATCATAACCAGTCTAGGAGGCCCACAAGCCTAAGAAGCCCAATATCACATAGACTCTCAATTATCCCAATTCCCTTTTTACAAACGCTTTTTTAATTTTTGTTTAATGGAAAAATTGTTATAAAGTTTTAAAAAAGGAACATAATATTAAAAAGCCCTAATAACAATAGAGCAGCTTGCAATGACAAATTTTAGTATAAAAAATAACAACTGCTCACTTATCATCCAGATTTATGAGTAGCTATTTTCTTTACTTGAGATCTAATTGTAATTCTCTGCTGTTTAATTCAGGAGTAAGAATTTTGAGATCAAAGAGTGACAAACCAATTAATCAATCTCAAACATAAAACTTTATACATAATGTTCCTGGCATATAAAATTTCTAATTAACTAAATTAGTTCTTTGCTAAGCATCGCCTTATTTGCTCTAACAATTGACAATCCCTTAAAAGTTTAGATTAGATTCACAAAAGTTCCAAAAGTCCACATAGCTGCCAAACTAACCAATTTACTTAAAAAAAAATCAAAAAATATTTTTATGCAAGTTAAGATAAAATTTCTTTTATATTTTCATTTTCTCTACCGTAAAATCACTTTCAAAAAACTAATCTAAACACTCTCTCAAGAACTGATTTTTCTTCCAACTTTTAAGCAACATGTTAACTTCCCTAATTAGGTGTGTTTTTTATTCCTAGGTTTGATATACGTTGGAAACTCGGGCAAATCATGAAGCCGAATTACTAATAACCCCCCAAACAAAACTAGACTTTTGCCATAAGCGTGGCCTACTTTAAATTTTGTCCTCATGTGAAATAGATAGCTTTGTCGAAAAGTAGCCTTTTTGGTTGTATTTGATTTGATTGTTATAGGCTTTTTTTCCCCCCAAAATTTGGGCCAAATGTTAAATTCGGGCCTCAACTATTGATTTTTCTCATTAAATATTTATTTTATTTTAGGTTTCATATTTTTTTTAATTTTCCTATCACAAAAAGCAGTAAAAAGGGAAGACATTTTTTTTTCCTACACCCCTAGTTTTAAAGACAATTCTATTTGAGACACTATTAAACACTAGAGGTGTTTGGATGGAAGACATACCATGATTTAAAAGTGTTTTTACGGCATACGAAGTAAATATGTGGAGGAGTCTCTCTCATTTTACAGAAAAAGTACTTTTCCATCTTGCCAAACACCCCCTAAATATGAATGTCTTTTCTAATTGAGATTCGAAATTTAGCTTCTTAGGAAAATGGGAGATATATTTAATTATAGAAAAACTAGTAAAGGCCCACTTTGAAGATTATTAGTACACAAATTTGAATTGCAAAGTACAATTATCTGACTAGTCTTTGGATGTCAATGATTCTCGATTCTACTAAACAATACTCCTCCGGTCCTTATTATAAGACCCAATTTAACTTTTTATTTGGTCCTAATTATAAGACCCAATCCATTTTCTCTCTTATATTTATACATTTTTTTCCAAGATAATCCTTCTAATAATGATAGTTTTAGCCAATATACTTAATTAGCAAGGATATTTTAGGAATGACAACACTTATTTATTATAAATAACCAACTTAACTTACTTTCTTAATCTCCTCAAATAAGTCAATTGGGTCTTATAATTAGGACCGGAGGAGTACTTTAAGAGTTTGTCATGTATTTAAAGAAATTCCAAGCCAAAAACGTTCTCCGGTAGGATTTCTTGTTTTAGATACAAATGGAGGGCCCAAAGCCTTAAGAGGAATCAACAAGGTTCAAAGGAAGCAAATTTCTGTAATACTATCTTCAGTCCTAATTATAAAATCTTATTTATAGTTTACAAACAAGATCTTATAATTAGAAACAGATGTAATATTAATAAAAAACTTTTTTAGAAGTATAGATTGGCAGTTGGCTTAGTTGGTGATGATTTCAAACTATTGTCCTTTTTTTTTTCCAATATGATAACAGAAATAAGAAATTTAAGTAATTTTTTTTATTTTCATGAATTAGTTAAGTTAACTTAGGAGGTATTTAGATAAATAAAAAAAAACACTTCTAAAAAAATATTCTTATGTTAATGGGAACAAAATTATTCTTATATACTTTTGTACTGTAAAATTTTTGGTTCCCCCCAAATACTTTTTCATTGGAAATTATATATGGAGCACCTTTGTATTTTGGGTAGGTCCCTTCGTTTCTGATGACTATCTATCCGCAGCTTATTCACAAGAGTCAAGAGCCAAGGCTCCAACTCCTCCATGGCTTCCTCTGCTTCCCCTTTTCTTCCTCTTCCTCTATCTGCTCCCAATTCACATTCTCTCTCCACTGACACTACTGATTCCTCCTCACTCTTGTCAATTCCGAACCCGACACTCAAAACCCCTTCAATTCGCTCTCGCCTGAGCAAACTATGTCAAGAAGGTCAGCCTCACCTTGCCCGCCAATTGTTCGACACTCTTCCTCGCCCTTCCACTGTTCTCTGGAACACCATCATCATTGGGTTCATCTGCAACAATATGCCCTTGGAAGCCTTGCTGTTCTACAGTCAAATGAAGTCTACCCCGGGTACTCGATTCGATTCTTATACTTACTCTTCCACTCTCAAGGCCTGTGCTGAAACGCGAAATCTTCGAGCTGGTAACGCTGTGCATTGCCATTTTCTTCGGTGCCAATCTAACCCAAATCCCAGTAGGATTGTTTATAACTCGCTCTTGAACATGTACTCTGCGTGCTTGAGTGGTGTGGAATATTGTGGTTCGAAGAATGATTATGTGCTTAAAGTGTTCAACTTGATGCGTAAACGTAATGTTGTTGCTTGGAATACCTTGATGTCATGGTATGTGAAGATGGAGGCGCACGCTGAAGCAGTTAAATTATTCAGCACGATGATGAGAATGAGAATAATGCCAAGTTCTGTCAGTTTTGTAAATGTTTTCCCCGCTGTGTCGAGCTTGGGAGATTATAAGATTGCTGATATAATTTATGGTTTGCTTCATAAATTTGGGAGCGAGTATGTGGAGGATGTGTTTGTTTTGAGCTCAACTATTAATATGTATGCTGAGCTTGGCTGCCTTAGCCATGCTAAGTTGATTTTTGAACAATGTAAAGAGAGGAATACTGAGATATGGAACACTATGATTGGTGGATATGTTCAAAATAATTGCCCAATTGAAGCAGTCGGCATTTTTATTCAAGCCTTAGAATCAGAAGAGGCTGTATGTGATGATGTGACTTTTCTATCCGCCCTAACGGCTATTTCACTGTTGCAGCAGATAAAAATGGCTGAGCAGCTACATGCTTTTATTTTAAAAAATATGGCAACTTTATCAATTATTATTCTCAATGCAATTATTGTTATGTACTCAAGGTGCAATTCAATCGATACATCATTCAAAGTTTTCCATAAGATGCTTGAGAGGGATGTAGTTTCATGGAATACCATGATTTCTTCTTTTGTGCAAAATGGTTTGGATGAAGAAGCACTGTTGCTTGTCTATGAGATGCAGAACCAAGGGTTTATGATTGATTCTGTGACTGTGACGTCTCTTCTTTCCACAGCATCTAATCTTAGGAACAAATATATTGGAAAGCAGACTCACGCTTATGCAATTCGTCATGGGATACAATTCGAGGGAATGGAGAGCTATCTTATAGATATGTATGCAAAATGCGGTTTGGTTAGAACTTCAGAATGGATATTTAAGCAAAACTGTCCTATTGATAAAGATCATTCTACATGGAATGCGATGATTGCTGGTTACACACAAAATAGGCGGCACGAAAAAGCCTTTCTGGTTCTTAGAGAGATGCTTGAGCAGAGGGTAACACCTAATGCTGTGACTTTAGCATCAATTCTTCCAGCCTGTAGTTCAATGGGAAGCGTAGCATTCGCCAAGGAACTTCATGGATTCTCCATTCGTCACAGCTTGGACCTAAATGTTTATGTGGGAACTGCTTTGGTTGACACATATTCCAAATCAGGTGCAATCAGTTATGCGGAAAATGTGTTTACTAGTATACCTGAGAAGAATTCCGTCACATATACCACAATGATGTTGGGTTGTGGCCAGCATGGGATGGGCAAGAGAGCTCTTTCTCTGTTTCATTCTATGCTGGGCTCTGGCCATAAACCTGATGCAGTTACTTTCGTTGCCATTTTGTCTGCTTGTGGTTATGCTGGTATGGTTGATGAAGGTATGGAAATATTTGACTCTATGGATGAAGTACATAAAATTAAACCCTCAGTTGAACACTATTGCTGTGTTACTGACATGTTAGGGAGGGAGGGGAGGGTGCTTGAAGCCTATGATTTTGTCAAGGGATTGGGTGAAGATGGTAATGCACTAGAAATTTGGGGATCACTTCTTGGTGCTTGCAGAAATCATGGATACTTTGAATTGGGAAAAGATATTGCTAATAAGTTGCTTGATATGGAGACACAAAAAGGGATAGCTGGTTACCATGTTTTGCTCTCAAATATGTTTGCAGAAGAAGGAGAGTGGGAAAATGTTGATAAATTGAGAATTCGGATGAAGGAAAAAGGTTTGCAGAAGGAAACAGGATGTAGTTGGGTTGAGATTGCCGGGTCTGTGAACTGCTTTGTATCTAAAGATGAGAGGCACCCCGAAAGTGATGAGATATATAGTATTCTTGACAGGTTAACTATGGAGATGAAGCATGAAGGTTATAAGGCATGTTGCAGCCCAAAATTATGGATTTTGGAATATGATGAATGAGGTGAATTTTTTGTCAACATAAATAAATGCATGGTCAAGATTGCAGAAAGCAAGAAAATGAAGGAATCCTGTCATTATACTTGTCACCGGCTTGGTTGCACAATCAAGGTGTAAACACTGCAAGGTAATGAACCTTGTAGAGTCGAGGTGTAACTAAAAATGATGTGGTATATCTAATACAAATGTTTGGCTTGTGTTAAATATGGATACAGCTTTTTTAATGTCTCCATGCTTTATAGTTAATTTTTTTCGGGCCTAGTTGGCGTGAGTTTTTCTATCTGAAACTTCGACTTAATCAAGCTGTTCTCCTTGAAACAGATTGATGTTGATTTTCCACTGCTGCCAATTCACGCACCGTTGAACGTGGGAACAGAAACTGTGAAGTGTATTCTTCGGTCCAGTTGTCACTAATAGCTTCCTGAATGTGTCCATATGTAATATGACGCATTCAAGAGCCGGAAGGTCAACCAAGGGAGGTTATATAACCATCCATATTGTAATTGATTCAGAACTGAGCAAGGGAAAGAAAGATGACAACTCAGGTACGTCACTTCCGTGTCCTAAGCTAATATTCTTGTCTTCTTCTATCTAACTATAACTAGGCTTGATATTGTGCTAGTTTGATTTCTTTCTCGAAACCCATTGACACGATTAACCAATTTTAACATTTAAGGCTGTACACTTAACATACTATATTCTGATTCATTCATCAGGCGGTCTATACTAGGTTTTATGTTTCTGGATTTTGCATGTGCCGAGTGACTTGGGTGTTATGATGCAAAATTTGAAGTTATTATATTGCCTTCGGCATATCCCTGTCACTAAGGGCCTATTTAGGGTACAAGAAAGAGTTTTAAAGGAATTGAAATGGGAAATGAAATAGGAGCTGGCCGTGATGAATTGGAATATCTCCTTAGTCTTCATATTTGAAATGACTGTGTGGTATAATCAAGTAGGGCCTGTATTCCACGAAATATCGGAACATTCTAACCAGTAAAAATAATTGGGTTCAGAGGAGAATAATTAAATAAAAAAGAGTAGAATCATCATCCTAAAATGAATTTTAAAAAATTTGTGACTTATCAAATGAAAGCGAAAAAGAAGTCTAATTTAACAGAGGCGTGACTGGAATACTATGATGGATTGTTGACTGCAAGGAACCATTAGCATCTGGAATAGCTATTGGATGAGAAATTTCAGATTGCTCGACTTAATGTTTGATTCTTTGTTGTTGCGTCTCTTGACTCGTTGATAACTTTATGTAGAAACATGAATGCTTTTTAATTGGTAGATGATTCAGTCGGCTATTCTTGTGAGATGGGGACAAATTTTTCTATAGCATTATGTTGTAGCTAATTAAAGTGCAGAGATATCATAGTTCCTCTTGTTCTACTGCAAATTTATTCGGTTTAAAACATGTAAAACTAGTTATTAGCTATTGGGTTCCAGCCAAATCTAAGGATGAAGCACAATGAGAGACCTAAAGCCCAATATAGGAAACATATGGTAATCTGTGAAGCCTGCTTTCTGGAATAGTTGCTTCCATTCTCCCTCAGTCCTCTCTTTTGCATTGAACTCAGCCATCAAAATAATGTTGTAAAGGAGTTTTGTTTCCATCAGTGAATGCTCGTCTTGCTTTTCATTTAACACCGTGTCTATGATGATCACTTTTCCTCCCTTGTCTTTTCCACAGATAGCCTCTTTGGCATTTTTCAGTATCTTTATGCAATCATCATCCCCCCAATCGTGCAAAACCCACTGTAAAGGTGAAAAACAAACACTAGCTTAATATGCCAAGTATTTCATGTTTGAAAGTTAACAGTGTGCAATTTCTAATGTCTAGCTAAGTTGAAAATCTTCTTGATTACAATAAGCATTGACTATGGCCTTAATAGTCAAAATATTCTTGTGCTAAATCGAAGTTGAGATTGAATTCTTCTAAATCGTCATTTAAATTTTGGGTAGAACTGGAGAGAGGAAAAAACTATGGGTGCGATCCTCTGAGTCAGCCCCATAGGCTTTAGCTTTTCATTTTATGATTTTCTCCCTAACTTCATAACAAATTTATTAAAAGAAAATTTAGATAATGCAATCTTAAAAGCCTTCGCGGTGAAAAATTAAAGTGATGATAATATAAGCTTGGGATTAAAATAGATGTGGGGCTTACCAAGTCTCACTTATGTGGGTCTCTCCTCTCCTTTTCTTAAACTTTATGTAATATAGACACCAATTTGATCGTGTCTATATTCTCTTGTTCTCAGAGAGAATTTAACTATGACATATTGTTGCTAAACATGTAATAATGCAAGAATTATTTGTCTAAAAATACTAATATATTGAATGATCAATAGTTTTTAAAATAATGATTAAATTTTTTATGAAAAATTATTAGTTAGGAAAATATCATGTTATATTTAATAATTTTTGTTAATTATTGTATCATAACAAGAAAAAAAATACAGGAATTTATAATACTAAAACTAAAAAAATTAATATAATTGTTTATTCAAAGGGCCCTGGTCCCAGAGCGTTAAAGAATAGGAGAGATTACACATCTCTTTACAATATAGTTTAATTATGATTATATTACATAAAGTTTAAATTGTAATGAAAATTAACTCAACTCATTTCATTTGAAATTAGCATCTGCAATACATGAATAATGTTTGGCGTTTTGAAGATGGTATGGTTAGTTATTTACCTTAATCAGAATTGCATCAGCATGAGGGATGGATTTGAGCATGTCCCCACTAACAAAACTCAAATTGGTGTCTCCAGATAAACCTGCAACAATTTCAGGAAGATCAAGCACTGTGCATTTCAACTTGGGAAATGCTTCACAGATAATCTTCGCAGTGGTGCCAGTTCCACCACCAACATCAACGACGGAACTGAAGCCCTCCAAAACGGACTTCAAGTCACTCAGTGCCACTTTCATGAATGCGGAATCACTAGCCATTGCTTCCTGGAAGGCCGCCAAATCTGCAGGATTTTGATTAAGGAAGTCATAAAAGCCTACCCCAAATGCTGTCTCTCTCAGTGTATTTTCCTTCCCTCGAACCCATTTTCCCAAATGTTGATACATCTCAAGCCTAGTAGGCCTAAGGGCCCACTGAACCATTGGAGATAAGCAATGATCTGTGCCACTCAAAAGAAGCTGTGATGCTGAAGTGAGATCATATGATAGCTCACTTTCTTCTTCATTGTTGCTTTTGATGATAGTGAATAGGCCATTATGAGCCAGCAAGCGCATGAGCCCTTTCATAAAGGTAGTTTTAGAGGGTGGAACATTGAGATCTGATACCAACTGAGAAAGAGAAACGGGTTGGCCATGCTTGTGGATTATGTCTGGTATTTCAAGCTCAATAGCACACTTCAGACATGCCGAAGACATCCAAAAGTACATGTGTTTGTACAGCTGGGCTTGGCCATGAAACAGCTCTCTGGTTTTGCCTCCTATTCCATCCATTGATAGAGCCTGGCTGAATTGCTTCCCAAATGAATTGTTGTAGGTACATTTCTTTCAGGCAATTTGTTAGCTATATTAAGTTTCCTTTCCTTATTGGTAATTGTGCTTTTGCCAAGTGCAAAACATGCGTGTAAGCTTTTGTTCTTGGAGCGACACATCAGCGCCCTTGTCTTCCTGTATATGAAAGAGATACTTCTGTCATTAAATGTTGATTCTTCTCAATTAAAATAATAATAAAGACTGATGGGGAAAGTGACACATAAAAATTGTCTGTAATATATTTTTTTCCCTTGTTATTTTTGAAAATTTATTGATTTTAAAAATATTCTATTGATATTTTATTATTTATTTATTTGAAAGGATTTTAATTTGTTAATTGCCTCTAGCTCACATGCTAATGCTAATGCCGTCAAAAAAATTGAGAAAGGTGACACGTTAAAGAAACACTAGCAAGATTAAAGGTGGATGATGGACATGTTAATTTTTAACCATTCACGGTGCCATAAAACTTCTGTCGCTAACAGTAATTTTTGTCACTGCTTTGTGAGCCACGAGATCTATTTTAATTCTGGCGAGCTTTGAAATTTAATTCACCCGAACTTTTCACTTTAAAAAAACTTGTATTTCTATTTACTTCAAAAAAAAAAACCTTTTTCCTAATAGTATATAATTTAAACACGCACTCACAAATATATCAAAATATATCAATGTTAAGTTTGGAACCTTATCCAACCGTAATGTTGCTGCTGGAACAACTTGTGACAGACATTTCAAAAAATAGTCTACCATTTGTTTGACTGAAAGTATCCAAATTCAAAACTGCCTAGAGGTCACATGCTGTTTTGGTTAGAAATATTGAGCAAGATGACACACCAAAGAAACCTCCCTTAGTCAAGATTAATGGGTGACTAATGGGATTGCTAGTTGTTACCCGTTTATGGTGCCATAAAATCTGTGTCATTATTCCCTAGTTTTTCTTTCTATATTCTTTTTAATTTTTAAAATATGGGTTGCCAAGAAAAATCACGATTAAGAGAGACATTTTTGTAAAGGCTTCTTGATGTGAATGTCTAAAATTTTTGTTTATTTTGTGGCGAACTCGACTTTACGAGAAAACAGATAAAACCTCAGCTGAACACTATTGCTGTGTTACTGACATGTCAGGGAGGGTGCTCGAAGCCTGACTTTGTCAATGGATTAGGTGAAGATGGAAATGCCCTAGAAGTTTGGGGATCGCTTATTGGTGCTTGCAGAGACCATGGACACTTTGAATTAAGTGAAGTTATTGCCAAGAAGTTGCTCGTTGTGTTGTCACAAAAAAGGATAGCAGGCTACCATGTTAGGGTCTCAAACATGCATTTAGAAGAAGAGTGGGAAAATGTTGAAAAGTGATCATTCAGATGAAGAAAAAAGGTTTGCAGAAGGAAACAGGATGTAGTTGGCTTGAGATTGCTGGGTTTGTGAATTACTTAGTGTTTAGAGACAAGAGACACCCTGAAAGTGAAGAGATATTCAATATCCTATTGACTGTTCAACGATGGAGATGAAACATGAAGGTTAAAAAGCAAGCCACAGTCCAATGAATAGGATCTTGGAATACAATGAATGAGATTAATTTTTGAATAGATTTGTAAGTATGAACAAAATTTGTGGTTGGGCAAGGTTACATGAAGCAAGAAAATGAAGGTAGCTTGTCATTAAACTAGTGAGACGCCTGGCTGCAGCCTAAGAAACATAAATATTAACATCGACTTGGCACATGACATGGACATCCAACACTGGAAGGTAACAAGTTTTTAATTGTCCAAGTGTTATTTGAATGGCTTTATCATATCTGATGCAAATATTTGGTTTGTATCAAACATGGATATCACTTGACTGGTGATTTTAACTCTATAGAGCTGTTCATCCCATCAAACAGGTTGATACTGATCTCCACTGCTACCAATTCATGCGTGGTGTATTGGTATAATATGATGCACAGTTGAGTATAGAAACAGAGCCTGTGAAGTGGATTCATTGGCCCAGATCGTCGCTAATAGCTGCCAATATATCTCTATGCATAATACGATGCTCTTAGGTGCTGGAAACTCAATTGATTCAGAATTGAGCAAGGGAGAAATACGACAATTCAGGTCGCTTACTTCATTCCCTTTAATGGTTATAACTGTGCATGATATAGTGCTATTTTGATTTCTTTCTTGTCTTCTAACATGTTTTAAAAGATGCACTCTACAAATTAGTTTTTTTCATTCATCAATAATAACTTTGTTATTTTTTTTCACTCAACTGGGTAATGACTTTATGTAGACATGAATGTTTATAAATTGCTAGATGATTCAGCCGCAGTTATAAGATGGGGAACAATTTTTTTATAGCGCTATGTTATAGCTCATTGAAATTGCAGAAGAATCATAACTCTTGTTCCGCTGCAAATTTATTCTGTTTAAAACATGTAAAACTAGTCATTAGATTCCCACCAAATCTAAGGATTTAGCACAATGAGAGACCTAAAGCCAAATATGGGAAATATCTGGTAATCTGTGAAGCCTGCTTTCAGGAAGAGTTTCTTCCATTCTTCCTCGGATCTCTCTTTTGAATTGAATTCAGCCGCCAGCATTATGTTGAGTAAGAGCTTTGTTTCTAGCACTTCATGCTGCTCTTCTTTTTCATTCAACACTGTATCTATGATGATCACTTTTCCTCCTTTTCCATTGCCTGAAATAGCTTCCTTGGCATTTTTAAGTATCTTTAAGCAATCATCATCACCCCAGTCATGTAAAACCCACTGTAAAAACGAAAATAGATAGCAATCTATCATTCCAGGTATTTCATGTGTTTGAATAATATCTGAAAATCACATGAATTAATCTCAAAGTGAAAAACTTGTAGAACTGCGAAGATGCAAGATTTAAATTTGTTATGCAAGGTTGTATTTTTTATGTGGAATATACTTGCCTTAATCAGCACTGCATCAGCATGAGGGATGGATTTAAGCATGTCCCCACCAACAAAGCTCACATTGGAGTTTCCAGATAAGTTTGAGACGACCTCAGGAAGATCGAGCACCGTGCATTTCAACTTAGGGAATGCTTCACAGATAATCTTAGCAGTTGTACCAGTTCCACCACCAACATCAACTATGGAATTCAATCCATCAAAAACAGATTCCAAATCTTTCATTACCAGTTTCATGAATCTGGAATCACTAGCCATTGCTTCTTGGAAGACTGCCAAATCTTCTGGGTTTTGAGCAAGGAATTCATAAACACCTACGCCAAACGATGTCTCTCTCAGTGTATTTTCCTCCCCACGAACCCATTTCCCCAAGTTTTGATACAAATCAAGTAAAGCTGGGCTTACAGTCAACTGAACCATTGAAGATAAACAATGGTCTGTGCCATTCACAAGAAGCCGGGATGCAGAAGTGAGATCATACGATACTTCGCTTTCTTCTTCATTGTTGTTGCTTTTGATGATGGTGAAGAGGCCATTGTGAGCCAGCAAGCGCATGAGCCCTTTTAGAAAGGTAGTTTTAGAGGGTGGAACTTTGAGATCTGATACCAACTGAGAAAGAGAGATGGGTTGGCCATGCTCGTGGATTATGTCTGGTATTTCGAGCTCAATGGCACACTTAAGACATAAAGAAGACATCCAAAGATACATGAGTCTGTACAATTGGGCTTGGCCATGAAACAATTCTGCTGTTTTGTCTCCTGTTCCATCCATGGCTGGATAGAGCAGGAATTGTCAAATGAATTGATGCAGATACGTTTCCTTCATGCAATTTATTCACTGCATTGAGTTTCGGTTTGTTGTTGGGGACTGTGATTTTGCCGAGTGTAAAACATGCATGTAAGACTACACATTAGCTCATTCATTGTCTTGCTATAAATGAGAAGGATACTTAATGTCATTAAATTTGATTCTTTATTATCAAAACAATATCATGATACTACTCCGTCTCTTATTATAAAATCTAATTTTTTGAATGGATTTGTTCTTTTTTATAAGATCCTCTTTGGGTTTGTCTAAGCATTTAATGCATTATTAGCTATTTTACCCTTAATTTAATACATTTAATACATTCTCTTTTTTCATTTATCTCACTATTACTCTCTCACATTGACTCATTTATATATAAGGGTATATTTGGAAAAAAATTGCATTTGCTGCATATTAATTGCTGTTAATTAATTTTAACTATTTTTGTAAATCACGCAATTTAGTTAAAAGGATCTTATAATAAGGGAAGGAGAGAGTACTTTTTAATTGTCACTGGTAAGAGAAGATTTTGATTCTTTTTAGTTGTCATTTGTATCTTTTTTAATGATTCATTTCCAATTCTGCCTTTACTAATTAAGGGAGACAAATGTAAAGATGAAGAGAGAGGGAATGGGTGAGAAAAAATATATTAGCTATTTAATAAAGGTAAAAGTAGAAGTTTTGATGTATTTAATAATCTCCTTGGTATGTGAGAAACTATTGCAAGTGACAATTAAAAGAGACCAGAGTGATACTCTATCTAATCCTATATATATATATATATAATATAAATAAAAAATGGTTAAAATTAAGTAAAGGGGATAATGTTAAAAATATATATTTTATTTTATTTTTTAAAATAATACTGCCTTTATTAAGGAGAGAGAAAGTGAATGAGAAAGAGGATGAATAGGAAAAAAATGCGTGGAAGACAATCAATGTAGTGATATACTCTCTTCGGTTGAAAATATAAGCTTAGTAACATGTAATTAATGGGAAAAATGAAAAATTTTTAACATCTGTTAAATGTATCTTGTAAATAGGATCAAGCCACACCACCAAAATGTGTATCTGTATCTTATAAGGGAAAAATGGGAAAAAAAATTGATTAGTTTACACGATAAAAAATTGGGCTACTTGTAAGATTACAAATAAGATGGACACTTGCCCATGTCAATATGTAACAACCTCAGGAAGGACAACGTACTTCCCTGGTGCTATTATAAGGCAGAGAGAAGATATTTTTTTGTTCTATTTATAAGGTACCAAGAAAATTTTTTCGTATGGGTGTATAATTTTACCCCTCATTTATGATTATGTTCACTTTGTTTACATGAGGTATAATTTATATTAAATAGGGATAAAGTTGAAAAATATTCTTCTGGTCCTTAATGTAAGACCTATTTAACTAATTTGATTAGATTAAGAAAGTTAGGTAAATTAGTTAATTATAAGAAATATGATATGTTTTTTTTCTTAAAACACCATAATCATCTTCTTTAATATCCTCCCTCCCTCTTTTACTTGATTATACTTGATGGAGTATCAATAGGGATAATTTAGAACAAAACTGATAAATAAGAGAAATATGTCTTATATTTAGGACCAAAATCAACTCAACAATTAAGTCCTATATTAAGAACAGGATGAGTAGTTGAATTTTAAACGAGTTAATAAAATTTAAAGTTTTTCTTAGTTTATATGAAATATGAGTAGTAAGTAATGAAGCAGATTTTATGGGATCATGAATGGGTAACCACTAGCAATGCCATTAATGTTATATTACTCCACCATCAATAAAGTATTTACGAGTAGAAAAATTATAAAAATAAGTAAAAAATATATTACGTGTGATTTTTTATCGTGTAACACCCTTTCTCGTTCCCCAAAAAACTGTCTTTTTAGTCTTTATTACTTTCTCCCGTCTTACACATAAGATAGAACGATCTTTTTAGTCTCTTACTCCCCAAACTTTTTCATTTTTTTTTAGAAATTGGGTTATAAGGAAATTACAAATAAGATAGACAGCTGCTTACGTCAACTCACTTTTCTTTAATTTATTCAAATTTATTAAAATGTTTGTGACTGATCACGATGAAAAAGAATGCCTGAAATGGGAGATATATAAATGTTAAGTATCATGGCTAAATGCATTTTCAGTCCTTGCATATCAGTTTAGGGGGAGCTTGTTTAAAATTATAAAACCGATTTTAGTTCGGGGAGTAAGAGGGAATTGGAGGAAAAAGTTTGAGATAAATATGGAGATGTATTTGAAATAAGCTATCTTTAATTTATTTGGTGGTAAGCTAATTCAATTAGCTTATCAAGATAAATAAAAAATAGACTATTTATCTCAAAGTCCCCCAAAATTTTCTTGACTTTTCTAACTACAATCATTCAATCTCAGATTAAACTTGATTTAATCCGTAGTTGACTTTCCAAAAGTGCCTTCGGCTTGGCCTTCTAGACTAGAAATTTGATCCGATAGATTGCACTTTAAAATTATCTTTTTAATCTTAACCATTGGATTATTTCCGTACAAGTTCTAATCTTGGCCATCTAATTTCATTAATTTCCTTCTTTTAATCTTAACCCTGCCATGCCACTTAATTATCTAACAGGTGTACACTGAAAATTATTTTAATGAGAAAATTAATCATTTACTCCTACACTTAATGATTTAGTTGGAACTCAATTCCTAAAAGATTAAATAATTTTGTGAAAGTATGGGGAGTTACGGATTACGTGACTGGAGGAGGAAAAATTAGACAAGTTAAACTTAAGAAATTGAATTGTGAGTTAAAATTTTAGGTACTAAGGACACCACAAAAAAAATTTGGGGACTAAATAATTAATTTCTTTACTTAACTCCACAATAACTTGATGCAGACATCAATGCTTGTTATAGCTCAATGACACTGTCGCAATTAATATAATTAAGCTGGGTCCAGTTTCTTTTTGGCACTAATGGGTAGATAATGAAAATTGCAGAAATATCATAGCCCATCTTATTCCACTGCACATTTATTTAGTTCAAACATGTAGCTTGTCTTATAAGACTAGTTATTATAGATTATAGTCAAAGCAAATCTAGGGATGAAGCACAATAAGAGACCTAAGGCCAAATATAGGAAATATCTTGTAATCCTTAAATCCTGCCTTCAAGAAGACTTGCTTCCATTCTTCCTCAGATCTTGCTTTTGAATTAAGGTCAGCTATCAAGGCTATGTTGATTAGGAGCTTTGTTTCTAGCCATTCATACTGGTCATGCTTTTCATCCAACACCATGTCTATGATGATCACTTTTCCTTCATTTCCTTTGCCTGAAATAGCTCTCTTGGCATTTTTAAGTATCTTTATGCAATCATCATCACCCCAATCAAGTAAAACCCACTGCAAAAATGAAAATAGTAAGAAAAATAGACAATAATTTCACATCCTTAGTGCTTACTAGTTATTTTTCAATTCTAACAATATGCAATGATAATGTTCAACCGAGTTGATAATCTTGGAGATTATAATCGAAAGCCAACTCTGACGAGCTCGATAATTCAAATATTTTTTTTTTGATGTGATATTAAAACTTGGTCTTTTAACAGTTTTTTAAAATAATTCTTCAACGGCAAGTTATCTTAGTGATAATGTCAAACACTACACTTGGATGTAGTCCCAAACTTGAGTCTAAAGTTAACATGTTTATGTGCATGCTTGTGTTTAAATTGTACAAAATCACGAAAATCTTCAAATTAATTTATGTGAAGTTTGGAGCCATAAAAGATAGAGTAGGTAGCTTCCATTGAATTAAAACAATATAACCTTTTACTTCTTTTGTTCCCTTTCTCGCTAATATATCCTAATTGATGTTTTGGTTCACAAATTTCCGCACGTGATAAAAACATTACTCTTCAAACTATATTTAATTAAAACAGGATATGTGTGCGAGGGATGGATAATGCAACTTAAGTAGGATAGTGTGATGGATTACAGAGCTACTGACATACATACGTACGTACCTTAATCAAAACTGCATCAGCATGAGGGATGGATTTGAGCATGTCCCCACCAACAAAACTCAAATTTGCATTTCCAGATAAGTTTGCAACAACCTCAGGAAGATCAAGCACTGTGCATTTCAACTTGGGGAATCCTTCCCTGATAATCTTAGCCGTGGCACCATTTCCACCACCAGCATCGACTATGGAACCTAATCCATCCAAAACGGATTCCAAGTCTCTAATCAGTGCCAGTTTCATGAATCTTGTATCACTAGCCATTGCTTCTTGCACTATCGCCAAATCTTCTGGGTTTTGCTTAAGAAAGTCATAAGGCCTTGCACCATATATTGTCTCTCTCACTGAATTTTCCTTCTGATGAATCCATTTCCCCAGGTGATGATACAAATCAATTATAGTAGGGTTTACTACCAATTGAACCACTGGAGATAAACAATGGTCTGTGCCACTCACAAGAAGTTTTGATGCCGAAGTGAGATCATATGATACTTCACATTCCTTTTCACTGTTGTTGCTTTTGATGATAGCGAAGAGGCCATTGTGAGCCAGCAAGCGCATGAGCCCTCTTATAAAGGTAGTTTTAGAGGGTGGAACTTTGAGATCTGATACCAACTGAGAAAGAGGGATGGGCTGACCATGTTTGTGGATTATGTCTGGTATTTCAAGCTCAATGGCACACTTTAGACATAAAGGAGGCATCCAAAGATACATGACTTTATACAGTTGGGCTTGGCCATGAAACAAGTTGCTGATTTTGTTTCCAATTTCATCCATGGATGGAGAGGATGTTGGAATTGTCAATTGAATTGTTGAGTTTTTCCCTGTTCATACCTGTTGAACTCTTTATACATAGAACTTTTAGTTCTTTATTGGGAATTGTGATTTTACCGAGCGTAATTATTTGTCGATAACTATTCACGTCATCAATTAATTGTTAAATGAAGTTTTCAGTTTTTCTTCACACAATTTGTTGACTAAATGTTGTTGGAAATTGTGCTTTTTCCAAGTGTAAAACAGGCATGTAAACTTTAATTCCTAGAACGACGCATTGGCCTCTTTTCATTCTTTTTATAAATTACAGGAAGTATTCATGTCATTAATAATTATTACTAAATGAACTACTAAGTTATACTTCACACAATGCTTTTCTTTCTTGTTGGAAATTGTGCTTTTGGTAGTTGTAAAAAGGTGGATTCAAGCTTTTATTCTTACAAGAGATTATCTTCTAGTCATCTTACACATTTGGAAAGGTATCCATGTCTTTAAATGAGTGCTACTAATTATGCCATTTCTTTTTATAAACTACAAATAACTAAATTACATATATAAATCAAGAAAATATTAAAATTGGTTAAAGATAATAAATATGTAAGAAATATAATTTTTTCAGATATACACTTATTCGTATAGAGAGCGAGCGAGAGATTGTGAAAAACTATTATAATTAGTATAAAGACCTATAATCAATCAGAGGTACTCCTCTGGTCCTATTATAGGGTAGAGAAAGAAGTTTTTATTGGTCCTATTTATAAGTCACTTCATTAAATTTTTAGTATGAATGTACTATTTTGTCCTTCATTTATTATGGTATAGGTGGTTATCTTTTTTAAAATGTGTATATATTAAATATGGGCAAAATGGGAAAATTATTATATTTTAATGGAGAGTTAATACCTTTTAAGGTTTTTCTTGATCTGTGTAAAATATGTTGGAAGTGCCTTATAAATAGGACTAGAGGAGTAAAAATAAAAGCAAGTGTATTAAAATTTAAGTCATTTTCAAAATTTAACTTATCAAAAAGACTAAATCTATTAAAAGAATTGTAACTTATAAAAAAATCAGATTAAGGTATAATTTTGCCTTCAAAATTTTTGTGAGCGAATTGTGGGTATTCAGAATTTTTTTTTATCAATATTGCCCCAGAAGTGTTAAAAAAGATATAATATCGTTCTTGACTGTTAAAAATGTAACAGTGAACTTTTTTTAATAGTTAGATTATTTCACCCCCTTTTTTTTAACACTTTTGGAGTAATATTAGTCCAATAATAACTCCCAAACAATTACAGTACCTATGCACAAGCTTTTAAGACAATTTGGACCATAACCTAAAGAGTACTAGTATTAATAAAATCTCTTTAAAAGAGGGAAAGAGACTGTTGCTAGTTGTTATCCATACATTGTGCCATGAGACTTGTGCCATTACTTAATCAATAGATTGTGCTTTTATTATTTTTTTCTTGTAGTTTTTTCCAAATTTTTTCAAAACATTGAGTTACCCAAAAAAAAAAAAATCATATAGAAGCAAGCAGAGAGGGGTTGAAGCAGAGTCTGAACGAGTTCTACATGTCAATTCGGGAATGAAAGTGAATATAGAAGAGTTTTCTTCTCAAAGAATGTGAATTACAATAGAGATTCGGATGGAATTAGCAATTTATTGATAACCCTCCAAATATATTCTTAATCTCTTTTTAAATATACTAAAAATGGAGAGTGATGAACTCTCCTTCCATTTTCTCTTCCAAAGCGAAGGAAAGCATAATAGAGGAAAGAAAATTAAATCACGCTCAAGTACCTGTTCTCCAATAAACTACTCTAACAAGTGGTGAATGAAGAGGCAATGTTTATGGCCGAAAAAATGGACAACAATAGTGGCCCGTCTTTATTGTCGTTTTGCCTTTTATATTCTTGAATAATTGAACTACATTATGGTTGGGTGGGTGATTGATTTGATTGCTTTTGGTTTATTTGATTTTAGCATCTGTTAGTGATATGCCTTGCTTCTTCGTCTTCTAAATTTTTAATATTTTGAATTATTTTTATTAATTATATATTTAAATTAAAATAAATAGTTTCTAGCGCAAATGATTAAATGATATTTTAAAAAAATATCACATTTTTTACAAATAATTAACTCAATTTTTTTTAATTTTGATTAATTAGTTATCTATCTTATTGTATTTAGTAGCAGTGAAAGTAACTTTTATTAAAGTTGGCACCGGCGTGTTCGCCTAACTCCAAAAATGCTTTTGAAAAGTACTCTTTTCACAAATCGAGACAAACTTCTCTACATATTTACTTCGTATATTGTAAAAACGCTTTTAAAATTATAGTTTTGTATCTATCCAAACACCCCGTAGTTTTTTGGAGGAAATTGCATTGATCAAAAGACTCGCAAGCATCTACATAGGGAGATTTGTGACCAGCTGTTTTTAAAAATGTTAACAAATCATATTTTTAAAAAGATGATAGTTTTTCTTTCTACGGGCTATACCTGGAAAATCACTTTCAAAATTCATTCTTAGTTTTTCCATCTTGTTTAGCGATAAATTTAGAATCAATATAATACAGACACACGCTACACTTTTTATAATTATAGTGAACTCACTTCTAATAATTCCATATGACGTATATTATAACATGTCTAGTTTCTCCCATAAAACTCTAGCAAACTAAATGATGCCAAAAAAAAAAAACTCTAGCAAACTAAATAAAACATGATGGATAATTGCTTAGAATTATTTGGAAGATTATATTTATTTATTTAGATAAATTTAGCCCCCTACAGAAATGGGTAGTAAAACATTGAAAGAATGAAAATAACATATCCATGAGGGCCCAATAAAAGCAAATGTTTCAACTTCTCTTCACATGTTTGAACAACTGTTTGAAAAGTGGATACATCTTCCAGAAACTTTATTAATTTATTATTCTACTATTATTTTTAATATAAAAAAACGTGACCCGCAAAAAGAAAGGTTTCCAAGCCTTGGTCCTATATATCACAAGCAGAACAGTACTACTATCTTTTGCCATTATTCTCCATCTTTATATGGTTCCTCTCAGCTCCTCTTTTATATTATTATCATAGGATCATTTTATTTGCAGTCTCAGTACCAAGAAGTTCCTCCAATAATGAAGCTTTCACTCCTTCCCCTCGTTGCATTTCTCACAGTGAGCTTCCTCTTCCTTTCTTGTGTATTTTCTTTTGCCTTTTGGCCCGTGAAACTATTAAGTATTTGTATTTATATATATTGTATAAATGAAATTACAGATTGCCCATGCTGCTAATTTGCCACCACCAGAACTTTACTGGAAATCCAGGCTTCCCACCACTGCCATGCCCACATCTATCACAGATCTCCTCCACTCAGCCGGTTAGTACTGTAGAGTGTTCTATGAGTCCCACGTTGGGAGGCTCAAAGTAAAGTGTACAGTTTATAAGTTTATAACTCTCGCGCGGAAATACAAATTTCTTGAGACATATTTTGCTTTTGAACTTGTTTTCATAATGGGTCCGTTTGGATTAGGGGTAGAAAAGTAACTTACTTTTTTAGATTGAAGAGTATGATTTGTGTTTGGATTGACTTTTATAAAATTAGTTTATAAAGTAAAAAAATTGTGGATTACGATTGAATAAGTTTTGTCTGTAAAATGACCAAAATAGGTATAACTTTTATTAATGAACAAGAAATGATTAAAAATATGGATTTACAAAATATAATAATTTTAAATTATTATAATATGAAAAAGTTATATTTAATTAATAAAATATGTTTAAATTAAAAATCATATTAATGTGAAAATTTTTGAACCAAATAATATTACATAATTAATTGAATGATATACTCTGTATAATTTATGCAAATATACAGTGAAAAATAATATTAAAAATAAAAAATATTATAACAACTGTTAAAAAGTGTTTCCGAATATTAAAACAAATAATTAAAAACTGATTGGAAAGTAAATATATATATATATAGAGAGAGAGAGTAAAGCATAAGAACAATATAAATGTAAGGGTAAAAATATCTTTGAATTCTAAAAAGCTACTTTTGCATTAGTCATAAAGTGCTTTTGCAGTCATACTTAGGGTGTGTTTGGATGAAACCAAACCGTGGTTTGAAAAAGTGATTCTGGAGAATAGATTCTGGGGAGAATAGATTCTGTGAAGAATAGATTTTGTAAAAAAGTGATTCTGAGAAGTGAGAGTGTTTGGATAGTTGTTGTCAGAAGCACTTTTTATATATACAAATTACTAAAAAAAGACATAAGTTAATATGATAATTACAGAAAAAATAGATTTTATGATATATTTTAATTTGAAGGAATAAAATTGTTAATAATATATTTTTTACCAACATAATTAATAATACATAAGATAATATAATTAATAATTAATTAATGTGTATATATATTTATAAATAATAAGATTAAATATGTTTATCAAAAAATATGTTTATAAAAAAAATAACAAGATACATATCATATAGGCTCTCACACTCTCCCTTTTTTCTCCAAAAGCAAAAATTTTTTGCTTTTTCCAAAACCATGGTTTTGGAGTCAAAACCATGGTTTTGGTTTTTAGAAGGGGTGTTTGGGTGATTGACACCCCAAACCATGGTTTGGGGTGTCACCCAAACACACCCTTAATATTGATCATCTTATAGACATTTCTTCCATGAAGTTCAAAATTGACATGGTTTTCTTAAGTACTTTGGATACGATGTTAATCCATCAGGCGGGGGCACCCCAGTGCATACGAAGTATGATTACGGTGATGACTCAGCTGCGTCATTTCTAAAGTATGGAGGTGGCGTATTCATTATCTATGATGAGGCCGAGACCCAACTCCAACATAATCCCTTCGCATCTCTTCTCTTCTTGGAAAAAGACTTGAAGCCTGGTCACACAAAGAACTTGATCTTTACCAAGACCTCTAACCAAGCCTCCTTCCTGCCTCGTCGAGTCGTGAAATCCATTCCTTTTTCTTCTACCAAGGTAATGTTGATTCAGGCTTAGGCATTCTAATGTCTCATTGATCTTCTGACTTTTTGTCCTTATTTACCTTTGATTATCAGCTCTTTGAGATAAAACGAGAGACATTGTGACATCTTATAGTCATGAAATAATGTAGTTTTGTACTCCCTCCAATCCTAAGTATAAGAGATTTATAACTAATTTGTAAAGATTAAAAAATTTAGTAGGTGAAAAATACCACTCCAGTCCTTATATAAGTTACTTGTAGAGCATTTAATGATCGTTTTTTAATTTTAATTTTATTTAATTCTTGTTGGAAAGGAAAAAAGGAGGAGAGCGAAGCAAGAATAATTTTTACATGCAGAAAGAGAAAATTTTTAATAAGGGTAAATTTAGAAAATTTTATCAATTTAATGTTTTCTTTTGTATGTAAAAATTAATCACAAGTGACCGATAATAAGGAATGAGATTAGTATGCATTCATTTTTTTTCTTCCCAAATTTCCCATTCATTTGCATTAGAAACTTTTCTTTAATGAAAAACTGCCTAAATATGTGCAATCAATGAGAAAAATTTAGGGAAAAATTGTGAATTCAGAAGATGACATAATGGATTAAGATATTATATTTTAAATCAAAGCAAATCCTTCTACTTGTTGTTACATTTAGAATCGGAGGCAGAATATATAATAAGAATGTGTGTGTGATTAATTTGTGTTCATGATTCATCTATACCAGGTGGATGAAATATTGAGAACGTTTTCTGCGAAACCTGGCTCGACAGAAGCTGAGATGATGAAGAATACAATTAAAGCATGTGAGGAGTCAGGGATCAAAGGAGAGGAAAAGTACTGTGCGCTGTCGTTGGAATCCATGGTTGATTTTATCACTTCCAAGCTTGGGAGACACGTGGAAGCTTTGTCTACAGAACTAATAATGAAGAAGGAAGCAAAGAAGAAAGAATACAGGATAATGCATAGAGTGAAGAAGGTTGGAGAGGCGAATCTAGTGGTGTGCCACAAGCTCAGTTATGTGTACGCTGTGTTTTACTGTCACAAAATGGAGACTACAAGAGCCTATACGGTGCCGTTGCAGGGGGAAGATGGAAGTAAAGTGAATGCAATGGCTATATGTCACACAGACACATCAGAATGGAACCCAAAACATTTGGCCTTCCAAGTGCTCAAAGTGAAGCCAGGGAGTGTTCCTGTGTGCCACTTCCTTGCTCAAGAAACTGTTCTCTGGGTCCCCAGGCAAACCCCTAATTAGCATCAATCTCATTGATATACTTTATCACAAGCAAAACTACTAAATAAAACTAAGGCTTAATCCAGCAGTTGCAAGAACTAGCTAAAGGAAAACAGAGTGATTGAAATAACGGTCATTCTATACTGCGAATAAGATCGTTAGGGATAACGGTCACGATAATTGTAGAGAATGAATTCAAAAGGTTGAGTTCTAGTTATTCCATACGGTAAACCACAATAATCCCTTTGACGGTTCTAGTGATTGATCCACTTAATTGGACTATTTGTTTTGCCAATTTTCTCTTCTAAATTGATCTCTCTCTTTTTATTTAATTGAACTTCTGTGTGGACTAAATATTGATCAATTTGACTGGTAAAAATAGAAACTCCTTATGGTTCGTTCCCAAAATACTCTTTGAACTATTTCTATAATCTTGTATGATTGTAAGACCGATAGATTTTGTTGCAATTGACTTTGCGTTTTAGCCCAAGGAATTCAAACATGAAGCTCTTTGTTTATAGTAAGTAGCATTAAATTCACAAGCCATGAGGAAACCATATGGAATTTTCACTTCCACGGTTTCAATGCTTAATTTGTTGTTCGTTCCCTTTGGAGTAGAAATCTCACCAGATATATATATATATTTATATATATCCCAGCTTTAATTTCCACAACCTTCAATGTGGAGCTTCATGGGTTGTTTCATTAAGTCGCCAGTTTATCATTTTTAATAATTTCAAAATACCATGTGACTCCTCCACCAGTTGCCACGTGTCCATGCTAACTATTGAAAAAAGTAGTATGGCCGCCTTGAAGTATCCTAAAACTGATAATTTTAGCCGTTGAATCGTATAGATGTACCAATTACTCGTCCATATATATGTGCAAACTCCAGATTCAAATTTCACTAATTTAGAAGGTATGTTGGTGGAATGATATGTGGCAGGACTTGGTTGGTGATAAAATTAGAAATGTAAACGCCTCAGTTAGTTCATATATGTAGGATTTAGATCCTTCTTTACTCAAATCGAAATAGTATTTACGTAGACAAGAAAGCTTTTTTAGTTTGATGAAAAAAAAAGCCCCGGGGGGAGGGGAACCAATTTCTTCATAGTGCTAATGGGTACATATCATATCTGCTCTTATTCCACTGCAAATTTATTTAGTATAAATACGTAACTAGCCTTATAAAACTAATCATTATTTCTCACTAGGCACAAGTATCCTCCTATTGAGAGGTAACTTTGTTTGAAATGTGGGTACTTCTCCCAATAAATTCAGAGCAAATCTAAGGATGAAGCACAATAAGAGAGACCTAAAGCCAAATATATGAAATATCTTGTAATCCTTGAAGCCCGCCTTCAAGAACAGTTGCTTCCATTCTTGCTCAGATCTTGCTTTTGAGTTAAGCTCAGCGTTCAAGACAATGTTGGTTAAGAGCTTTGTTTCTAGAATTTCATTCTGGTCATGTTCTTCATTCAACACTATATCTATGATTATCATTTTTCCTTCATTGCCTTTGCCTGAGATAGCTTCCTTCGCATTTTTAAGTATCTTTATGCAATCATCATCACCCCAATCAAGTAACACCCACTGTAAAGGTGAAAATAGTATGAATAAAATAGGCAACAATTTAACATTCATAGTTCTTCATTTCCTAATGATAATATATGTAATTTACTCCCTCTGGTCCTTTTTATACAAAAAAAATTATGGAAGTATTATTGTCCTTTTTATACGAAACTTCAAATTAAACTTTTTCTAGAAGCACCAATGACTTCTTTTTAAATAGCCTTAATTATAGTGAGAGACAGGGCTACACCAACTTGATAAACTTTATTGATGAAGGGTAATTTTAAAAAATAATTCAGATATGGACATATTTATTAAAAAGAGTAAATAATTTTAACTTGTTTTCTTAATCTGTGTAACAGATGTTAAGCGCTTTTCAAATAAGAGACGTAGTATAATGTTTAGCTAACTTGACAACGTTGGACATTATAATAAAAGCTACAGCCCTCATGATCTCGACATAGTTGAAATAGCTAGTTCTGACATAGTATAAAGAATTTAACTTGGCCTTTCTTGGAAAAAAAAATTGATCCTCTTCAAATAAATGTACGTCAATTTGGGGAAAGAAAGGGCGGAGAGTAGATTGGATCCGTTGAATTAACGATATAATAATTTGTTTCTCTTGTTCCGTACCTCCATTTCCTCCCTCACAAAATTAAAAATATGATAAAAACATTAATCGCAAAACATTTAATTAAAAATAGAAACCCATATGCATGTCAATTGAAATTCATAATTAAATGATTTGATCTAAAAGAGGAAAAACTTGGAAAATTTTGTGTGCGCGCGTATGTGTGTGTGTGTGTGTGTGATATAAAGTTGATATATAACGTATTTCTTGTGTATAATTTAAGTGCGAAAATGTTTTATGTTTCGAAAAATTATACATATACCTTAATCAGTACTGCGTCAGCTCGAGGGATGGATTTGAGCATGTCTCCTCCAACAGAACTCAAATTGGTGTTCCCAGATAATTTTGCTACAGTCTCAGGAAGATCAAGCACTGTGTATTTCAACTTGGGGAATGCTTCACATATTATCTTAGCTGTGGTCCCATTTCCACCACCAACATCAACAATAGAACCCAATCCGTCCAAAACAGAATCCAAGCCTTTGATCAGTGCCACTTTCAAGAATCTAGAATCACTAGCCATTGCTTCTTGGAAGGCTGCCAATTCTGCCGGGTTTTGCTTAAGAAAGTCATAAGGGCTGATACCAGATATTGTCTCTCTCACTGAATTTTCCTTCTGATGAACCCATTTCCCCAAGTGATGATACAAATCAGTCATAGTAGGGTTTACTACCAGTTGAACCATTGGAGATAAACAATCATCTGTGCCACTCACAAGAAGTTTTGAAGCAGAAGTGAGATCATATGCTACTTCACTTTCTTCTTCTTCTTCATTGTTGTTTCTTTTGATGATAGTGAAGAGGCCATTGTGAGCTAGCAACTGCATGAGCCCTTTCACAGAGGTAGCTTTAGAGGGTGGAATTTTGAGGGTTGATACCAACTGAGAAAGAGGGATGGGTTGGCCATGTTTGTGGATTATGTTTGGTATTTCAAGCTCAGTGGCACGTTTTAGACATAAAGTAGGTATCCAAAGATACATGAATTTGTACAGTTGGGCTTGGCCATGAAACATCTCAGTGATTTCGTTTTCAGTTTCATCCATATGGATGGAGAGAACGTTGGAATTGCCTAATGAATTGTTGTGTCTTCCTTCGTATCCAATGTGGTGAACTATTTATAGATATAAATTTAAGTTCTTTATTTTTAGGGAATCATCCTTTTGCCAATTGTGAAACCCATCTAAACTTTTCTTGGAATTAAACATTTTCGTCTTATCTTTTTATAAATTAAAGAAAGTATTCATGTAATTAATTGTTAGATATGAATTAGTGATGAGTTGTCTTTTGATTCACTTTATTGTTTGGAATTATGCTTTTGCCAATTAAAAAAGATGAATCTAAGCTTTTGTTCTTGCAATGAGACATTAGCCTCTAGTCTCTTTACAAGTTGAAAAAAAAAAAAAAGTGTCCATTCACTAAATGTGGATCATTTTAATGAAAACATTGATAAAGTATTGAAAGAGAAAACAAACTGTTGCTACTCCATCTTATCCTTATTATAAGCCATTCTCAACAAAATTTCATATATCAAGGGATAACAGATAAAGTGTTAAATTTTTCCTAAATTGTTAATTTTTTTTATAGTTTACTCGCAACTTAAATGATATAGATAGTGAAACACGAAGTTTGATGATTTTATTACACTAAACCTTAATTAATTAATAAGACAAAATTGAAAGGTAGTAATTAATGACTTAGTTGATGATGACTTATATTTAAGACAAAAAATTGCTTTAAAAAATGCTCTATATCACTCCCTCTGGTCCTTATTATAAGCTTTAAATAACTAATCACGGACAACGAACAACTAGTTAAAATTAATTAAAAGCAATAAATAGCTCAGAAATATGCTTTTATTTCCAAATATGACGTTATAATAAACAAGAAAAAAAATGAAAGAGCATGTATGAAAAAATGTTATAAGAGAAACTATGACAAGAAAAGAGAATACACCAAATTGAAGACATCCATCCCCAAAATTTGAGGCTTATAAATAGGACCATAGGGAGTAAGAATTAGAGGGAGTAATTGCTATCTTTTTATTTCAATATTCAATTAGATTGCGCTTCTGCCTTCTGCCAAGTGTAACTGTTGTTTGTGGATATAAGTATAGTTATTGTTTGCCAAGTGTCATTATTGAACAGATATAAATTTATGTTCTTTGTAGGGAATCGTGCTTTTGCCAACTGCTCAATTATTTGCAAGGAAGTATTCTTATCAGTAATTGTTAAATGAACTGTTAAATTTCCTTCCATACAATCAGATTCACTGATCATTCGCAACACACGCACTAAATTACTCACAAAATTTTTTCTTTTGTATTGGAGCGCATTTATCTCTTTTCCTTTCTCAATTCCAACGCAATCATTTCAATAAATAAGATATATATCATTCACCATTAATTCAGATTCTAATTTCCTAAAACAGTAAATTAAGTATTATTTGAAATATTTTTTCACATATTTATCATCATCGAAAAAAATAACCACTTCACTATTTTGTCCCTTCATTATATGTTGTTGGGAATCTTACTTTTGCATCTAAACTTTTTTCCTTAGAGCTATGCATTAGCCTTTTTTTTTTTAATAAAATAAAGGAAATATGCATCTCATTAATTATAAAATAAATTGGTGATGAGTAATTAAAGGAAATATTCCGGTCATAAATATCCCACCACTGCCATGCCCGAATCTATTACAGATCTCCTCCACTCTGCTGGTTAGTACTGCGGAGTGTTTTATGAGTCCCACATTGGGAGGCTCCAAGTGAAGTGTACAGTCTACAAGTTTAAAAACTCTCCTACGGAAATACAAATTTCTTGACATATATTTTGTTTTTGGACTTGTGTTCATAATATCCATCAGCTTATAGACATTTCTTCTATGAAGTTCAAAATTGACATGATTTTTCTAAGTACTTTGGATCTGATGTTAATGTATCAGGTGGTGACACCACTGTGCATAGGAAGTATGATTATGGTGATGACTCAGCTGCGTCATTTCTAAAGTATGGAGGTGGCGTATTCATTATTTACGATGAGCCTGAGACGCAACTCCAACACAATCCCTTCGCATCTCTCCTCTTCTTGGAAAAAGACTTGGGATTTGGTCACACGAAGAATTTGATCTTTACCAAGACCTCTAACCAAGCCTCCTTTCTGCCTCGTCAAGTCGTCAAATCCATTCCTTTTTCTTCTACCAAGGTAGTGTTGATTCAGTCTTAGGCATTCGAATGCCTCATTGATCTTCTGACTTTTTGTCCTTATTTACCTTTGATTATCAGCTCTTTGAGATAAAACGAGAGACATTGTGATATCTTATAGTCATGAAATAATGTAGTCTTATAGTCCCTCCAATCCTAAACGTAGGAGATTGTTAACTAATTTGTAAATATTAAGAAAATTTGGTAGGTGAAAAATACCATTCCTGTTCTTATTATAAGTCACTTGTGGAGCATTTACTGATCACTTTTCAATTTTAGTTTTATTTAATTCTTGTTGGAAAGGAAAAAAGAGGAGAGAGACATGAGAATATTTGTCAATGCAGAAAGAGAAAAAAAATTAATAAGGGTAAATTTAGAAAATTTTATCAATTTAATTTTTTTAAATGTGAAAATGAGTTACAAGTGATTGACAATAAGGAGGGGGAGTAGTATGCATTCATTTTTTTTTTCTAAAATTCTTATTTTAATCATTTGCATTATAAACTATTCCTTTAATGAAAAACTTCCTACATATGTACAATCAATAGGAAAAATTTAGGAAAAAATATGAATCAACTATCAACTATCATCCATCAACTATATTCCTAAAAATTTGTAATACCCGATTCGTTTAACAACAGGTCAGGTATGACATTATGTGATATGAACATATTCAATTATTGAGTTTGAATAATATTTTGATTGAGATTTAAGTATATTGAATTAAATGAGAAGCATCAATATTAAATAAGATTTGAATAATATTTTAATTGGGATTTGGCTATATATTGCATTAAGTGAGGAGTATTATTATTAAATAGTTATTTCAATTGGAGGCTCAGATAAAGAAATTAATAATTAATTTTGAATTTGAATATCTTAGTTGAAATTTGAACATATTGAATTAAATGGCGAGCATCATAATTAAATAGTATGTCAATTGAGGGGCTTAAATGAAAAAATAATTAATTAATTTTAAATTTTCATATATTCCCCATCTATAATACAAATCCCATATGAATGAATACCCAAAAAAAAAAAATCATACTCTTATAAGAAGTGAATACTAAATTAACTTAGATAATACAATTTATTAGAATTTAAAATCTAATGAAATTTCTCCTCCGTGGGAGAAATTTCTAGTTCAAAAGATAACATAATGGATTAAGATATTATATTTTAGATCAAAGAAAATTTTTCTACTTACATTTAGAATAGAAGGCAGAGTATATAATAAGTGTGTAAGTGATTAATTTATGTTCATGATTCATCTATACCAGGTGGATGAGATATTGAGAACGTTTTCAGTGAAACCTGGCTCGACAGAAGCTGAGATGATGAAGAAAACAATTAAAGCATGTGAGGGCTCAGGGATTAAAGGAGAGGAAAAGTACTGTGCGCTGTCGTTGGAATCCATGGTTGATTTTATCACCTCCAAGCTTGGGAGACTCGTGGAAGCTTTGTCTACAGAAGTGATATTGAAGAATGAAACAAAGAGGCAAGAATACAGAATAATGCATGGAGTGAAGAAGGTGGGAGATGCGAATCTAGTGGTTTGCCACAAGCTCAGTGAAGTTGAACTGCCCTTAATTGTCGCTTTGGGGTTACTCCAAAAATTAACCGAATTAATGCAGTATAGTGCACAACTCGGGTCGTTTCACTTTGAAGAGCCGAAAACGAAATTAAACCCTAGTAAATGAATGCAAGTAACCTAAACTATAAAAAGAGATTTTTGATTTTGAAAAGCTATTAATTAAATACTACGAATCAAATTGAAATTAAAATACTTTTTTTTTGTTTTTATATAAAAGTGATTAAAATGAATGGAGATTAAAGAAATGAAAATGAGACACACAAATAACACTGATAAAAATCAATCCTCCAATTCAACAATGCAGGCAATCATCACTCTAAAAGATGTGGGAGTTAAAAACAATGAATTAAGAATTATAATTAAGCTTTTGATCCAACAACCGAGCCACCTCGAGTTGCCACAAAATATTTCCTAAAATCCCAACTTACTAACTGCAACCAGAATAGTAAAATGGGATTAAGGATGCTAAAAACCAATGCTTAATTAGAACTCTTAAATCCAAAAATAACAGAATTAAAGCTAGCAAGAGACTATTTGATCCAAAATTCTAAGCCACCTTAGAAAATCACAATATATTAATTTCAAAATCAATACAAATGTCATAACCACAACATTATAATTGAAATCAAAACTATAAACAGCCCAATGTCAAATACTAAGCAATAATTCAGTCACAATAATCTCCAAATATATTCAGATTAAGCAATACAAGTATCCCAACAATCAGAAAAACTATCCTAAGACCTAGGAATTGTTAAACAATTATTGAGTAAGAAATTAAAGCAACTAGAACTCCCCCTTGAAGATCCAAGCTCCTGCCATTATTGTTGAATTGGAGAATCATGAATTAGCCACGGTTTGCCATCAAATTCGCTGCCACCAGCAATTCTCTATTGCAAGCTTCCATGGAGGAGATGACGCCGTCGAGCTTCCTTTGGTCCTCTGATTCTGTCGCAACACGGAGAGGGAAAAGATGATCGCCGTCGCTGGTCTCACTGGTTCGTCTCCCAGCTCCTGCTTCTCCTCGTCACGAGCTCGTGTTCGGCGCGCCTCCTCTTCGTGTGTGCTCTGTTCGCCGCCCAAAGCTTGCTCGTGTGTTGCTCTCTCTCCGTCCGCGCCTGTGCGTGTATCAACTGGTGTATCTCCTTCTCCAGCCGCCAGCTCCCTCCCGTGTTCAGCTTGCTCTGTTTCGTTCTATTCTCCCTGCCGCCAGCTCCCGTCTCTCTGTTCCGTGTTCAACTTGTGTGTCTTCCGCCAACCAGCTCTCCTCTGTTTATTCGGCCGCCAGCACGCTCCTGCTTCGTGTGTCTCCGTCCCCGGGTCTCCGTTTCCAGCTGATGATGATTATTAGGTTGGGGCAAAACGCAACGTTTTGCCCCCAACTTATTATTATTATTATTTTTTAATTTAATTTTCTTTTCTTTTTTTTTCTTTTTTTCTTATTTTTTTTATTTTTGAATCTTCCAAGAACCTGCAAGCAAAATTCAAGGATAAGGTAGCATTAATTGTCCTTAAAAATCAATTAATCATAATTAAATCAAAACATGACAATTTTGCCCCTATAAAATAATAATTCAAAATAAAACAAAATAAATCAAAGAACAATCAATTAAGGCAAAAAGGGACCAATTAAGTTGACAAAACTAGGGGTGAGCAAAACCGAACCGAAACCGAAAACCTAACCGAACCGAAATTAATTCGGTTTTTTCGGTTTTTATTTTTTTTTCGGTTAGTTTTTTCGGTTATTTCGGTGTTCGGTTTCAGTTCGGTGTTCTTGATAAAATTTCGGTTATAACCGAATAACCGAATAATAAATTATTTTTTATTTTTTTTAATTTTTTTTTTCTCTTTTTCGGTTTTTTCTACTATTTTTATTCCTATGTTTTTTTTTTATCAAAATGCTTCGGTCCAAATAATACCGCAGCGCAGACCTCACTCCTCCTTAGTCTCAACTCTCGCGCAGCCTCACTCAGCAAAGTGCAAACCCTTATCGTCTTGCCCTGAACCGCACGCCCACCGACCGCCGCAGCCTCCTGTCATCCACTGATCCACTCATCCTTTCTCACTCAGGCTCAGCTTCTCGCCTCTTGTCTGTGGCTTCAGTGTATTCGGACATTGCCTTGCCCCTGCGATTCTGCAAAGCTTCGTCTTCTTCAGTCTACCGTTCGGCGACCGACAGCTTCGTCTTCTCCTTTCTAGTTGACGACAGGCCGACAGCTTCATCTTCTTCGGCAGCTTCGTCTTCTCCTCTCCAGTCTCCGACAGCCTCGTCTTCTCCTCTCCAGTCTACCGTTCGGCGACCGACAGCTTCGTCTTCTCCTTTCTAGTCGACGACAGGACGACACCTTCATCTTCTCCGGCAGCTTCGTCTTCTCCTCTCCAGTCTCCGACAGCCTCGTCTTCTCCTCTCCAGTCGCCGTTACAGACTTCGTCTTCCTGAAGCATACTTTCAGATAGCATCCGTGGGTGGTGAGTCCGTCGTTAATGCTCTGTTCTTAGTTGGTTTCTAATATAATATATTGCCATCAGCTAGTGCTTCAATGTTGCGTTGTGAATAATAGGCCCTGTGTGAGTATGTTCTGGTATATTCATCAATGAACAAATAGAAAACCTGAATCCATATGTTATGGCTTAAATGCATGTGATTGGAACAATTTAAAGGGATAGGAGTGTGATTTTTCACATTGAGAAGATACGCAGAGTTCAGGCTCTTAGTATCAAATTTCAAGTTATATAATAGAGTGAGAATCGGTGACGGTGACTTGCTCAAGTTGTATAATTTGAAGTTTGAACCGAACTAAGAAGTCATATTAATGGGTGATAAAGATACAACCTCGTTTCTGTGTTACAGGTTTAATTTGGGGATGAATACTGATTAAATGTCCTTTTCTAATTCCATGGCTTTCACATTTCACCTCGTAGAGATTGTGTTTTTAGGAAATTAGAGCTTTCCTGGTTTTTCTGTGAAGTCAGGTGCTTGTGGTTGTACACATTGAACCGGACTAAGTTATATTCTTATGTAACATATATAGCCTTATCTATTCATTATAAATTGTCTTCATTGGTTTCTCATATAATATCTTGTCATTGGTTTTGTTTATTTAATTAGATGTCTTCTCACGGTGAAACCATGGGTGATGCTCAAGTTGGGGATGATGGTACTACTCAAACAACAAAGCCTTCAATGCCAGTAACAAGTGGAACAAAAAGAAAAAACATGAAGCCAAGATCAAAAGTATGGGAGCATTTCACCAAATTTGTGAATGAAAGAGGTGAAATTAGAGGTAAGTGCAATTATTGTGGAAATGATCTTGCATGTGATCCAAAAGCTAATGGAACAACTGCACTTAATAACCACATGAATTCTTGTAAATTGAAGCCCCCTCCTGAAGAACTTGCACAATCTCTTTTGAACTTTAATGTAGAAGATGACAAAATAGGTCTTGCAAATTGGAAATTTGATCAAGATGCTATTAGAAAAGCCTTGTCATGCATGATAATTACTGATGAATTACCTTTCAAGTTTGTTGATGGGAGTGGGTTTAGGCAATTTATGTCTATTGCTCAACCTAAATTTAAAATTCCATCAAGATGGACTGTTGCTCGTGATTGTTTTGGGATTTATATTGAGGAAAAGGTTATCTTATTGCATTCGGTTATTTCGGTTCGGTTATCTTATTGCATTCGGTTTCGGTTCGGTGTTGTTTATATGTAATATTCGGTTATTCGGTTATTTCGGTTAGTTGCATTAACCGAACCGAATAACCGAATGCTCACCCCTAGACAAAACCCATATAAAAGATACCAAAATATATAAAAATAATTGAGTTTGTCAACTCCCCCACACTTAGCCTTTTGCACTCCTGGGCAAAACTTGATTAAAGAAGAATCCAATAGAGACACTCAATGCAAGCAAACATAAAACTAACTAAGCGTGAATGTGCAATTAACTCAAGCAACCTTTATTCTTGATTAATCAACAATCATAGAATACTTCAGTGCAAAGAAATTAACACAAGAAACATAGCAGGATAAAAGAAGAGAAACATAATAGAGCTCACATAGGGTACAAGTGTTTCACTCATCTCTCAAATGGGAAAAATTTCACTCAATTCACCTAGATTAGCACCTACCATAAGCTTGTAGAGATTCTAATATCTCCACTACTAACATACCTTAGAGTCATGATCAAGGGGACTTGAAGGGTTGTAATGTTGGAAAGCAAGGTCAAATGAATGAAATGAACTAGCAACTGAAATGCATGAGTAATAAAGTATCAACTCAAAGTGAGCTAAAGTACAATCATGAAACAACACCAAAGTGCAGATTTTAACCTTTTAAGACAAAAATCTTTGCTCTTCAAACCACCATGGAATGCTTTATTTCAAAATTATTCTTTTGTTGCAACTTATTTTCTCTTTTTTTTTTTAACTTTCTTTCTTTGGCTTTTCTAAACATTTTCTTCTCTTTCTTGCCTTTTTTTTCTATTTCTATTTTTTTTCTTTTTTTCTTTTTTTTGCATCCAAACTCAAGAAGGCAAAGATATTGACTTTAATGATGTACTTTTCAAAATGAAAAATCAGATAACTCATGCAAAACACTTGCTTAAAAGTACTGAATGGAATGAAAGTGAAGGCTCAAAGGGGTGAACAAAGGTTAAATGAAGTGGTTTGTGTTTGGGTAAAGGTTTAGAAATGAATGCCCCTATCATCTTCACAAATCTAGGTACTAATGCAGCTTTGAAAAAAGAATCTAGACAAGTTCTAGAGGTTGACCAAAACTAGGTGAAAATCACACAAGATGAGAAAATATATGGCTCAACAATCCTTCCATCAAGGCATTCTCCAAGATGTTTCCTCCTTAAATATCAAGCTATGAAACAAGGTTAATAACACTGCACCAAAGGCATTCTACTATGCTAATCAACTAAGAACAGAAATCACTTAAATCAAATGCAATCAAACTCAGCCG